TTAATTTTTACGCTTATGTTGAAGGTGAATTTTTATTTCTATTTTTATATTATTTTACTTTCTAAATTTATCAATTTAACTATATATGTTTTTGAATAGTTGCAATATATGGTAAATCATACTGTCAAGCTGCCAAAGATACATGGACCTTGATAAAAGATCGTGGCATTGAAGCTATTATTAATGATGATCTTATTGGAAATGTGTTAACCATGGGCTCTCTTTTAATTGGTGTTCTTTGTGGGTTATTTGGATTCCTTTACATACACCTTTTCTTAAATTATTTATTACAAGATCAAAACAGTTCAACTTTAGTAATCGTATTTATTATAATTTGTTTTGTAATTGGCTTTATGATGTGTGTAAGTAAAAAAAAATTTGTTTTATATCTCTTTATTTGACGTTATTTAAACATTCAGACTAAAAACATTTATTGTATTTACATATATTTTACATATATTTTTAAATAGGTGGTCATTACTGATTCCGTCAGTTCCGGTGTCTCAACTACATTCGTTGCTTTGGCTGAGGATCCGGATGCGTTACGAAGAACTAAGCCTGTATTATTTGAGAGAATTCGACAGCAATGGCCCCGTGTTGTCCAAGGAATTTAAGATGTTCAACTTATTTAAAAATTAATGTGAATACAGTAATATTTAGGCATTTACATATTATTAGTAGGTAAAAAAAGAACGTTCTGTATCAATACATACCACGGAGTGTTTATATTATGAAGCTTGAGGATATATTATTATTTAATAGATTGCAGGAACTTATTTTCATGCTTGAATAACAATTCATTGTAGAGCGATCATATAAATAGAGCTTAAATTCGGGTATAAAATTATATATTAATATCATCTTTGATATCCAGATTCAATCTCTAATTATGATACTTGTATAATATGAATAGTATATTAAAAAAAATATAATCATTCAATTTTATGCAAATTTATTCACAAATTTAATGTATATGGTTGGGGTATAGTACACCAGTAGCCAAACCAAATTGGGTTATGTTATTGCGAAATGTTTAAAGTACAAATATGCCGCATTTACCCACCGTCTATAAAAAGTGTTTATTTTGTAAATGTTATCCACAAAAAATTACAGGTATTAAAAATTAG